CCGTCTGTTAAAACACTGAATCCCCTGCGGTTAGTAATCTTTCTTTGGTTCAAACACTCGCATCTTTGGGTTAGTCACCTTATTTTGGTTCAAATACCCTTCCTTCGTTCAAGTACTACTTATTCAGTCAGTGTACCAAACACCTTTTGCGTCACAACCTGCGCTTGGTTCCACATTCATCCATTGGGTCACAACCTTTGCTTGGTTTCACACCCGTCCTTTGGGTCACAACCTTCGCTTGGTTCCACGCCCGTCCTTTTGGTTGATCACCTTCCATCGATTAAAACCAATTCCTTTCTCTTTTCGGTTAACCATTATTTATCAGTTAACACACCAAGTCCCCCAGAGAGTTAAACACCTTCTCTTGGTTCAATATTCTCCTTTTTCTGGTTGATCATAGTCCGTCTGTTAAAACCAATTTCTTTCCCTATAGAGTCATACTCTTTTATTCCTCGGTTAACCATAATCTTCCTGTTAATATACCTAATCCCCTGTGTATCTTACCTTGTCTCTATTCAATTTTCTTGCTCCTTTAATCTCTTGGTTTCGACACCATCCATTTGCCTTTACTTTTTGGTTTTAACATTATTTCCTCTTGTGTTCCCTAGTAGGGTCGTTTCTTTTGCCTCTCTTTCTTGGTTTTAACACCATTCTTTTGTCTTCCCCAGTGGAGTCTTTCCATCTCGTTTTACTTTTGATTTTGATACCATTTTCCTTTTCTTTCTCCGTCTTAGTTCCCCGAACTACATAGCTCTGACTTCCTCATTACACTGTGAGGATACGTAGGCACGAGATCTCGAGATATTGGCGAGCTACCTTCAATCCTGCTTCTGTCTTTCTTTTCTTCTTTGGCTCCATGAACTACAAAGCTCTGAATTCCTCATTGTAATATGAGGATACGTAGGCACGAAGGCCCCAATCCTCTGCGAGCACTCTCTTTCACTTTCTTCCTTTTTTTGATTTTTCCCTTTCCTCTTTAGCTAGTAGCCTTTTGATAGATAACTCATCCAAGCCTAGAAGTAAGCAAAACGGTTCTCATCGAGTACGACGGATGCGTGAGGTGCTAGTACCTTCCTTTCACATAACCAACCCCCTTAACTGTTTCTTTTCCCTTGGGTTTTATCGACATTTTCCTTGTCTTTTGGGGCTAAATAAATTTCGATGGTGACTCTGTTGTATCTTTGAGCGTGCGATTCACTCAGGTATAATCCCGCTAGCTTCACACTCCGCTCCTTTTTCATCTTTTTTAATGAAAAATGTTTGACTATTATTAGATATTTTGCGATTCAGATTGAGAAAAGACATTCGATGTTTATCGAGGTTTATTCATGATTATGAAAAGTTTGAAGTAATTGGAAGGTTTGAAAATGGTTTGAGTGCAAAGTGGGAATGGTTGATATGAAGTGATCGACTTACAAGTTGGGTTTGGCTTGATGATTTGGAAAAGGTTTGATAATGGAATATGGTGGAAGGGTGACCAATTTGTGTTGACTAATATTTTCGAAAATGAAACTAGGTGTTGACCAAGTTCTTTGATTTTTTTTGAAAGAATGATTTTATATTTTTCGTTTTTATCTAATTAGTTAATTATCTAGCTAATGGAAATAAAAGCGACAAAAACAAATAACAATTACAAACAAGGGTGAGGGATACATTTTGTCAATGAGGATATAATTAAATGATTAAAGTGTAAGGGATCAAACAGGTAAATGCAAACACATGAAATAAAAGAACACATTGTAAGAAGGCCTAAGATTAAACTACAGGACTGAAATAAATCGAAATCAAAAAGCAACTGAATTTAGATCTAAGCTAACTTAGAGTGAATTCATGTAAGAATCACTCTATAAGAAGTCGGACAATCGAATTGATGCATCCAAGCGGTTATCGAAAGTCTAATTGGATTTTAACTCCGAAATCACAATGCAGTGAAAGGTAGCAATAACCAAAATAATATTTTAGCAAAGTCACAATTTTTTACAACTAAAAGTAATTGAAAAAAATATAATAGAAAGATATACACAAAACACTCGCTATCCACAATGAATTTGTATTGCTATATAATCAAAGTCGACCTGAAAAAAGAAAGTATGAAAATTAATATTAACACCATATATATATATATATATATATATATATATATATATATATATATATATATATATATATATATATATATATATATATATATATATATATATATATATATATATATATATATATATATATATATATATATATATATATATATATATATATATATATATATATATATATATATATATATATATATATATATATATATATATATATATATATATATATATATATATATATATATATATATATATATATATATATATATATATATATATATATATATATATATATATATATATAATTCTAGACTGGGCCAGAGGCTGGCTCACCGCCGGGCACGGGCCAACCCAGCTTCTCGTCGGGGAGGCCCAATCCATCAACGCATACGAGGAGCTCTCACACGTCATCAAGAAACTACCCAACTTCCGAAGATCACGAGACAGTTGACCCAGGATGAAGACCACGTGCTGGTCTTTGCTACGCCATGTAAGACCTGGTAGTTACTCGTATTAAACCTTGCAATCCAACCCAGTGCAAAGTAACCGTTGGCGCAGCCATGGGCGGTTTTAAGGCCCGGCCAGGCTGGGCATGTGCCCGGACTCGGCCCCAAAATTTTGCCTTCTTTTATAAAAGAATATGAAAATTGTGGCCGTTAATAAGTGCTGTTATGGCGGTTAAAACCGCCACAATTAACGAAAATGCAGAAAAATAGTACTTTTTACTCGTTGATAATGGTAGTTTTAACCGCCGTAATTTAAAAAATTTTCACAAATAAAACATAATTTTTTTTTCCTTTTTTATGCAATTAAAAATACATTATATTAATTTTTTTATATGATAATATTTAGATTCAACTACATTACAAAAAGTGAAAAATTAAAATAAAGTTGCTATTTATGATCAAATTAACCAAAAACAAAAAATGAATACTTGAAAAAATAAAATTTAACATAAAAGTAGAAGCTACTAAAATTATAAAAAAAAACATGTATAGTGTTGTAAAAAAGAAGAAGAAAAGAATAAATTTTCTCCTCAAATAATATAAAAAATATATTAGGTCCAATTCTTCAATTTATGTTCACTATAAATTATATGGTTCAATTGATGTTAACTAGGAATATATATTTTAAATTTAGTTTGTAGTTACAGTAGTTAGTAAATAAAATTATGTTGTTAACTTGTTGCTAATTTCAAGAATTATTATAAATCACATGATATGATATTCCATGTTAGTATCAGCCTCAAATTGAATATGGCTATGTTAGTTTTAAAATTCTGCCGAAATCAATTAAATTAAAAATCTTTTATTTTGATTAATAACTATTTATATAAACATTATGAATTTATTGTCTTTAAATTTTTGCTCAGGCTTCAAAAACTTTATGGCTCCGCCACTGGGCGCAGCTTTGGAGGCACATTATAAATATCTTCTTTCACTAGATAATCAAATATTCTATTCTCTACACGCTTTCTCTGTACTTGCTCTTTATACTCCATCCCTTACTTTGGCATCGAAGTTTCTTGCAGGAACACTCCCTCATCTTCTCAACTACCGGCGAATTAAGGAACTCACGACGTATTGCAGACTGCTGATTCTTTTTTAATCCGGTAAAATCATATATATATATATATATATATATATATATATATATATATATATATATATATATATATATATATATATATATTACAAAAATTAAAGAATATATAAGACAAAAAAAGGCAAAGTACACATATAGATAACTAATTAAGATTAATAATGTATAGATGTATAAAACAATAAATAAATAAATAAGTAGTATATATACATATATATATATATATATATATATATATATATATATATATATATATATATATATATATATATATATATATATATATATATATATATATATATATATATATATATATATATATATATATATATATACACACACACACACGCACGCGCTAAATTCTATATAGAAATAATTATAAGAAAAAGATATATAAGTATAAAACAAAAAATAAATAAATAAAAAGGTCTCTATCTGCTAGGCACTCAATTAGTGAATTTTATACAGCTCCTAGTCAATTACCTAGACCTTCTACTTCTCAAATAAGAGAAGAAATAGAGGTCGTTGAGAATATAAGACTAAGCGAAAATAGAGTTCCCCATGGAATTTATCAAAAACCTCATACTCCAAGAGTAGAATCACCTACTCAGTCAAATATGGATTTCCATTTATAATGATAGATTACTCCCCTGGTAGTAAGATGAGATTCAACATGAGAGATATGCTCAAATTAGAAATTGTTTTTTTTTTTTAATTTCAAAACCTGAATTAACCCAATTTAAAGATGAGTATTACACTCAAATGAACCTTGAACAGGATTTCGTTCCTTTTGTTAAATGGTTTGTTAAATACTTCATAAATAAAAAGCAAGAAGAAATTCTTGTGTTACAAAGACCTTGGAAAAACATTAGAGGAGAAATAATGGAATCTCATTTTCCCCCTGAACAAACAATAAGTATGAGTCAAAATACTGAAGCTACCCCTTACCTTAGCCTTCAGTTACAAAGAGTTGAACAAAGTCAAGTTACTCTTAAGGAATTAAATTCAGTCATCAGGTCTCAAAATTATACCAATGCTTACCTTGTTTGCTTAGGAAAATAATTTATTTCCATGGAAAAAGATCTCTTATCCATAAAAGATCTTTTAGAAAAACAAATAGAGCGTCAAGATATCATTATTGACCACATAAATAAATCTAAAGACCAAATATCCACATCCACTATTTCGGATGTTCCTATAGTGCAACCTCCTGTTTCCATAAAAGGATTTAAAATGGAAACCAATGGAGAAGAATTTGTTCGTATTTTAGAACAAAAATTAAAATGACTTAATATCACTGTCATGTCCCATGAAGATTATTCTGAGGATAATAATGATAACCATATTGATCAGCTTTCTGATATGTTTGCTAATTTAGACATTAGTAACCTTAATATTAATAATAATACTAGTATAAACCCTGTTTATTCCCCAAGACCTATAGAAAAGTATTATTACAAGCGTCCCTCACCGCAAGATTTGCTTTTTGAGGAGTCAGAACCTTTCCAGAATTCTTATTCAGGAAAAGTCATTTATGAATGGAATGTTGATGGTCTTAATGACAAACAAATTATAGATACAATTCATAGGAGGATCACGTACTCAGCTGTTTGCAAGCAACATGGAAATTCTGATAGTTCAATAACATCCTTTATAACAACAGGATTTGTTGGCCAACTTAGAGGCTGGTGGGATCATTATCTCACTGAAGCTCAAAATTTAGAGATTCTTAATCACAAAAAAATCGTTAAGAGCTAACCAAGAACTAGTACGAGCACTATTGTGCCTACGACCACCACAAGAGAAGAAGATGCAATGTATACACTGTGTCTTTCCATCTTACAATATTTTGTAGGAACCAATGTCCCCATTGGAGAAAAAATCCAAACACTTCTCCAAAACCTTAGGTATCCTTCTCTTACCCACTATAGATGGTATAAGGATATTTTTCTTTCAAGAGTTTATCAATTAAACAATCTCAATTCTTTGCACTGAAAAGCAAAATTTATTGATGGATTACCCCATTTCTTTTTTGAAAAGGTTAGACAATCTTTAAGACAAAAAATGATGGAATAAATATAAATTATTTTGACCTTACTTATGGTCAAATAATTAGTACTTGTGTTAATGAAGGATTATGTAATGACATAAAGTTTAGAAATCAACTTAAAAAGCAAAAGCTTTCTGAGAAACACCAACTTGGTGAATTTTGCGAACAATTTACTTTTGATCCTGGAAAATCTCCAGATAATAAAAAGAAAAAAGGAAAAAATTTCCGCAATAAACCTTATAGGGATAAGCCAAAAAATTCTTATAAGAATAAGAAAAAGAGTCACTACAATAAGGGTAGACCTAAAGAAAAATCTTTTGACCCTAAAGGTAAACGAAAAGCCAAAAGGCTTGACATAACATGTCGTAAATGGGGCAAACCTGGCAGTTATGCCAACCAATGCTGGACTAAAAAAAACTCTTAATGAGATAGAAGATGAACAATTACATTCTCAATTAGAGAAAGTTCTAGTTCTCAATTCTGATTCTGAAAATTATTCTTCAGAAGAAGATATTAATATGAACTATGAATTCTCTACTGATTCCTCTTCTGAATATTCTGACAATAATGATTGTCAACGTAGTCAATTAGATTATTGGAAATCAATTGTTGAGATGAATGGGTTAAATGTTTTAACCTCGAAACAGGACGAAGCCATAAAAGCTATAGAATCCATTTCTGATAAAAAACTAAAAAGAAAAATACTCGAAGTCTTAATACAAGAAAACTTTAAAATAGAGTTTCCCATTATTACAGAAGCACCTTACCAATTAAGTGAGGTTTTTTCTAGGTTTAGACAGTCTAACATCAGTGAAACTCTCGTTTCTATTATGGATTTAAATAGAGAAATAAACCTCTTAAAAAATGAGATATCTCAGATTAAAAAAGAAAACTATGGTTAATCTCAAAGAATCACTTTTTTAGAATCCAATAATTTAAAGGTTGAAGAAATAGCTTCAACTAGTAATCCTTCACCTAGTGATGATTTCCTTTCTCTCATTGATAGAGTGACCTCTTAAAAGTGGTTTGTTAGAATAACTTTAATTATTAATAGAATTTTCATATTAGAAAATGAAGTTGCCCTTATTGATAGTGGCACTGATTTAAACTGCCTTCAAGAAGGAATTATTCCTACTAAATATTTTGATAAAACTACCCAATCTCTTACCCAAGCTAGAGGAGATAAACTCACGGTTAATTATAAACTGTCTAATGCTTATGTTTGTAACAAAGATATTTGTTTATCTACTCATTTCATTCTTGTAAAAAATTTAACTCCTACAATCATATTAGGAACTCCCTTTCTGCATAAAATAATGTCTTTGATTAATGTTGATCAAAAGGGAATTACTTCCACCATCAATAATAAAAGAATTACCTTTGAATTTATTATTGATCCTCATACTAGGATGATAATGAAGTTAAAGATATTCTTCTTAAAAAAGAAAAACAAATTTGTTTTCTTAAAGAAGAAGGAGGTTTATTAAACATCACTTCTCAACTTAAAAACCCTGAAATTCAAAATCAAATTAAATTAATTGATCAACAATTTAGAGATGAAATATGCAATGATTTACCTAATGCCTTTTGGGATAGAAAGAAACATGTTATTTCCTTACCTTATCTTGATGACTTTAATGAAAGTCAGATTCCCACTAAATCTAGGCCTGCTCAGATGAACCACGAGTATTTGGATTTATGCAAAAAAGAGATAGAATCTCTTTTAGAGAAAAAATTAACAAGAAAGTCCAAATCTCCTTGGAGCTGCACAACTTTTTATGTTAATAATGCCGCTGAAAGGGAACATGGAGTTCCTAAACTTGTTATAAATTATAAACCACTTAATAAAGTGTTAAAATAGATTAGATATCCTATTCCTAATAAAAAAGATCTTTTGATAGGTTAAACAATGCTTTAATCTTCTCTAAATTTGATATGAAATCTGGTTTTGGCAAATTCAGATTAATGAATCTGATAAGTATCAAACAGTCTTTACCGTACCTTTTGGACATTATGAATGGAATGTCCTTCCTTTTGGTCTTAAAAATGCCCCCTCTGAATTTTAAAATATTATGAATGATATTTTTAATCCTTATACAGAATTTATAATTGTTTATATCGATGATGTTTTAGTTTTTTCAAAAACTATAAATCAGCATATTAAACATTTGAAAATATTCAACGGATTAATTAAGCATAATGGGTTAGTAATATCTGGTTCTAAGATGAAACTTTTTCAAACAAGGGTTAGATTTTTAGGACATGAATTTGACCAAGGAACTATAATTCCTATACAAAGAAGTATTGAATTTGCTTCTAAATTCTCTGATATTATTACAGATAAGAAACAATTACAAAGGTTTCTTGGTAGCTTCAATTACATAGCAGATTATTATGAAAATCTTGTTAAAGATACGACAATATTACATGTTAGGCTTAAAAAGAATCCTGGCCCTTGGATTGAAAAACATTCTCAGGCAGTCCAAAGAATTAAAAATAAGGTGAAATGTTTGCCTTGTCTATCTCTTGCTAATCCTAAGTATTTCAAAATTTTTGAAATTGATGCTTCAGACTTAGGCTATGGAGGAATCCTTAAACAAATAATACCTGAAACATCAAAAGAAGTTTTAGTTAGATTTACTTCTGGAAAATGGAATCCAACACAAACAAAATATTCAACTATCAAGAAAGAGATGCTTTCTATTATAAAATGAATTTTAAAATTTCAAGATGATCTTCTTAATAAAAAAATTTTATTAAAAATTGAATGTAGCTCAGCTAAATCAATTATTGAAAAAGATGTTAAAAATCTTGTTGCTAAGCAAATTTTTGCTAGTTGGCAATCGCAATTATCTATGTTTGAATTTGATATTCAACACATTAAAGGTGAAAATAATTTACTTGCTGATTATTTAACTCGTGAATTTCTGCAGGGAAAAAATGATGACTCCATATAGGGGTAGAGGTCGCGGTTATGGCCATGGTGGGAGAGGGAGTAACAATATGTTACCCCAGCCAGAATCAAACATTTCTCTAATAAGGGATTGGACTACTGTCTACAAAGATAGAAAAATGCAGCAATTACCTGCATCTTCAGCAAAAAAAGAAGATATTGCTTCCTCTTCCTGTAATAAAACTACATCCTACAAGGAAGTTGCGGTTAATAACCCACCTCAAGAACAAATGGATTATTGTGAAAATCTAGTAGCTGAAAAAATCATGTATATTGATGATGAAGATATGAAGATAAACCCAAATGGTGGTTGGTCTATCAAAACTAGGTGCCTCGAATCAAGAGGATATCCAGGTCTTCATGGAAAATCTAGGCCCAACCTAGAAATTTTCCTGACTGTTACCAAATCGGTAACAATTACTCACCATTACCAAAATAATAATCCTGAAAGTTTTATAAACTTCAGCAAATGTCACATTAACAAAATTTTGTTACCAAGAGAATGGGGTCTCAACCCAAATGCTGAAAAGGCAATAAGAATTGCAGAAGGAAAGTATATTTACTTTAATTATTGGGACTATGTCCAATCTTTCACTCAAACTTTTTATTACCAAAATCTCAAGAACAAGCATTCTTGGTTTTTCTCTATTAATTCAGAGATGGTTAATAAACCCATACCAAATTGGTTTTATGAATGGTGGACTAAATTTGGTCCATCTATGGAGATTCTTCCTAAAGAAATTCTTAACTTATACAATCCATGGTGTGATAATAGTCCACTTATTGTAAAACATTTATCTGATAATTTGATCACTGGACAATGTCCATTCTTGTTCTTTACTAAATTTCAGATTCCATGGATATGGAGATGGTCAATCACTATATCAAAAAACAAATTCAACATTCCCATTTTAGAAAGAAATTTCTTCTATAAATGGTGGAACAAGATGAGTTCAGAGGATGTCCAGAATAAAATAAAATTAATTCAAGAAGCTATAGATGAAGACCAGAATAATAAGGTCAAGGAGCAAAGCTCCCAACAAATGTCTATGGAAAACTTGAAGAACTTCTTCCAGAGGAAATATCCCAATGAATCAGAAGATGAAATCATGGTTAGAATTTTAGATCATATGAAGAACCAATTCTTCTCTACTTTTTCAACAAAAGTATCAAAAGATGAGGATTCATCTATGAAGACAAGCTCTTCCATGGGATCAATGGATTCCCATAACTTTGATGATTTGGCAGGAGAAGGTCAAGCAGATGAACCTACTGCAGAAGATTTCTGGGATGCAATGATTCAATCTATGAAAGTAAAAGGAAAAGAAAAGAATTAAATTATTATCTTGTCTAGAAACAATGGAGTAAGAATCAATGGATAAAGGCTAGAGGACAAGAAATAATAGAAGAATCTTTACAAAAGCAAAAGACAAGGGAATCTTATCTTGTCTTGAAAATTTCTAGGCATAATTGCATGCATTTTCTTTATTTTGAAAAAGACAAGGGAATAAGAATCTTATCTTGTCTTTAGAATTTCTAGGCATGCATTTTCTTTCTTTTGTTAAAGTTTTTGGTTTCTTGTTAATTGTTGTGTTGATGGGTCCCAAAGAGTACCCGACAATAATTATACAAGTTGTGTTTTAGTTTACTGACTATTGTAAGTAGCGGTTACCGGCTTAAATAGTAAGAAGGGGCTTAAGCCGGTAACCGCTACTTACAATAGCCGGTAAACTAAAACACAACTTGTATAATTATTGTCGGGTACTCTTTGGGCCCCATCGACACAACAATTAACAAGGAAACAAAAACTTTAACAAAAGAAAGAAAATGCATGCCTAGAAATTCTAAAGACAAGATAAGATTCTTATTCCCTTGTCTTTTTCAAAAGAAAGAAAATGCATGCAATTATGCCTAAAAATTTTAAAGACAAGATAAGATTCCCTTGTCTTTTGCTATTGTAAAGATTCTTCTTCTATTATTTCTTGTTCTCTAACCTTTGTCCATTGATTCTTACTCCATTGTTTCTAGACAAGATAATAATTTAATTCTTTGCTTTTCCTTTTACTTTCATAGATTGAATCATTGCATCCCAGAAATCTTCTGTAGTAGGTTCATCTATTTGACCTTCTCCTGCCAAACCATCAAAGTTATGGGAATCCATTGATCCCATGGAAGAGCTTGTCTTCATAGATAAATCCTCATCTTTTTATGCTTTTGTTGAAAAAGTAGAGAAGAATTGGTTCTTTATATGATCCAAAATTCTAACCATGATTTCATCTTCTGATTCATTGGGATATTTCCTCTGGAAGAAGTTCTTTAAGTTTTCCATAGACATTTGTTGGGAGCTTTGCTCCTTGACCTTATTATTCTGGTCTTCATCTATAGCTTCTTGAATTAATTTTATTTTATTCTGGATATCCTCTGAACTCATCTTATTCCACCATTTATAGAAGAAATTTCTTTCTAAAATGGGAATGTTGAATTTGTTTTTTGATATGGTGATTGACCATCTCCATATCCATGGAATCTGAAATTTAGTAAAGAACAAGAATGGACATTGTCCAGTGATCAAATTATCAGATAAAATTTTTACAATAAGTGGACTATTATCACACCATGGATTGTATAAGTTAAGAATTTATTTAGGAAGAATCTCCAAAGATGGACCAAATTTAGCCCACCATTCATAAAACCAATTTGGTATGGGTTTATTAACCATCTCTTGATTAATAGAGAAAAACCAAGAATGCTTGTTCTTGGGATTTTTGTAATAAAAAGCTTGAGTGAAAGCTTGGACATTGTCCCAATACTTAAAGTAAATATACTTTCCTTCTGCAATTCTTATTGCATTTTCAGCATTTGGGTTGAGACCCCATTCTCTTGGTAACAAAATTTTGTTAATGTGACATTTACTGAAGTTTATAAAACTTTCAGGATTATTATTTTGGTAATGGTGAGTAATTGTTACTGAATCGGTAACAGTTAGGAGAATTTCTAAGTTGGGCCTAGATTTTCCATGAAGACCTGTATATCCTTTTGATTCGAGGTATCTAGTTTTGATAGACCAACCATCATTTGGATTTATCTTGATATCTTCATCATCAATATACATGATTTTGATTTTTTTCAGTTACTGGATTTTCAAAATAATCCATTTGTTCTTGAGGTGGGTGATTAACCGCAACTTCCTTGTAGGATGTAGTTTTATTAGAGGAAGAGGAAGAAATATCTTCCTTTTTTTGCTGAAGATGCAGGTAATTGCTGCATTTTTCTACCTTTGTAGATAGTAGTCAAGTCCCTTATTAGAGGAATGTTTGATTCTGGTTGGGGTAACACATTGTTACTCCCTCTCCCACCACGGGCATAACCGTGGCCTCTACCCCTATATGGGGTCATCATTTTTTCCCTACATAAATTCACGAGTTAAATAATCAGCAAGTGAATTATTTTCACCTTTAATGTGGTGAATATCAAATTCAAATATAGATAATTGTGATTGCCAACTAGCAAAAATTTGCTTAGCAACAAGATTTTTAACATCTTTTTCAATAATTGATTTAACTGAGCTAAAATCAATTTTTAATAAAAAAAATTTATTAAGAAGATCATCTTGAAATTTTGAAATGCATTTTATAATAGAAAGCATCTCTTTCTTGATAGTTGAATATTTTGTTTGTGTTGGTTTCCATTTTCCAAGAGTAAATCTAACCAAAACTTCTTTTGATGTTTCAGGTATTATTTGTTTAAGGATTCCTCCATAGCCTGAGTCTGAAGCATCTGTTTCAACAATTTTGAAATACTTAGGATTAGCAAGAGATAGACAAAGCAAACATTTCACCTTATTTTTAATTCTTTGGACTGCCTGAGAATGTTTTTCAGTTCAAGGGTCTAGATTCTTTTTAAGCCTGGCATGTAATATTGTCGTATCTTTAGCAAGATTTTCATAATAATTTGCTATGTAATTGAGGCTACCAAGAAAACTTTGTAATTATTTCTTATATGTAATAATATCAGGGAATTTAGAAGCAAATTCAATACTTCTTTGTATAGGAATTATAGTTCCTTGGTCAATTTCATGTCCTAAAAATCTAACCCTTGTTTGAAAAAGTTTCATCTTAGGACCAGATATTACTAATCCATTATGCTTAATTAATCCTTTGAATATTTTCAAATGTTTAATATGTTGATTTATAGTTTTTGAAAAACTAAAACATCATCAATATAAACAATTATAAATTCTATATAAGGATTAAAAATATCATTCATAATATTTTAAAATTCAGAGGGGGCATTTTTAAGACCAAAAGGAAGGACATTTCATTCATAATGTCCAAAAGGTACGGTAAAGACTGTTTTATACTTATCAGATTCATTAATCTGAATTTGCCAATAACCAGATTTCATATCAAATTTAGAGAAGATTAAAGCATTGTTTAACCTATCTAAAATATCTTTTTTGTTAGGAATAGGATATCTAATCTATTCTAACACTTTATTAAGTGGTTTGTAATTTATAACAAGTCTAGGGACTCCACGTTCACTTTCGGCGGCATTATTAACATAAAAAGTTGTGCAGCTCCAAGGAGATTTGGACTTTCTTATTAATTTGTTCTCTAAAAGAGATTATATCTCTTTTTTGCATAAATCCAAATACTCGTGGTTCATCTGAGCAGACCTAACTTTAGTGGGAATTGGACTTTCATTAAATTCATCAAGATAAGGTAAGAAAATAACATGTTTCTTTCTATCCCAAAAGGCATTAGGTAAATCATTGCATATTTCATCTCTAAACTGTTGATCAATTAATTTAATTTGATTTTGAATTTCAGGTTTTTTAAGTTGAGAAGTGATGTTTAATAAACCCCCTTCTTCTTTAAGAAAACAAATTTGTTTTTCTTTTTTAAGAAGAATATCTTTAACTTCATTAATCATCCTAGTATGAGGATCAGTAATAAATTCAAAGGTAATTCTTTTATTATTGATGATGGAAGTAATTCCATTTTGATCAACATTAATCAAAGGCTTTATTTTATGCAGAAAGGGAGTTCCTAATATAATTCTATGAGTTAAATTTTTTACAAGAATGAAATGAGTAGGTAAACAAATATCTTTGTTACAAACATAAGCATTAGACAGTTTATAATTAACCGTGAGTTTATCTCCTCCAGCTTGGGTAAGAGATTGGGTAGTTTTATCAAAATATTTAGTAGGAATAATTCCTTCTTGAAGGCAGTTTAAATCAGCGCCACTATCAATAAGAGGAACTTCATTTTCTAATATGAAATTTCTACTAATAACTAAAGTTATTCTAACAAACCATTTTTGAGAGATCACTCTATCAATGAGAGAAAGGAAATCATCACTAGGTGAAGGATTACTAGTTGAAGCTATTTCTTCAACCTTTGAATTATTGGATTCTAAAAACGTGTCTCTTTGAGATAAACCATAATTTTCTTTTTTAATCTGAGATATCTCATTTTTTAAGAGGTTTATTTTTCTATTTAAATCCATAATAGAAACGGGAGTTTCACGAATGTTAGACTATCTAAACCTAGAAAAAAAACCTCACTTAATTGGTAAGGTGCTTCTATAATAATGGGAAACTCTTTTTTAGAGTTTTCTTGTATTAAGACTTCAAGCATTTTTCTTTTTAGTTTTTTATCAGAAATAGATTCTATAGGTTTTATGGCTTCGTCCTGTTCTGAGGTTAAAACATTTAACTCATTCATCTCAACAATTGATTTCCAATAATCTAATTGACTACGTTGACAATCATTATTGTCAGAATATTCAGAAGAGGAATCAGTAGAGGGTTCATAGATCATATTAATATCTTCTTCTGAAGAATAATTTTCAGAATCAGAATTGAGAAGTAGAACTTTCTCTAATTGAGAACGTAATTGTTCATCTTCTATCTCATTAAGAGCTTTTTTAGTCCAGCATTGGTTGGCATAATGGTCAGGTTTGTCACATTTATGACATGTTATGTCAAGCCTTTTGGCTTTTCTTTTACCTTTAGGGTCAAAAGATTTTTCTTTAGGTCTACCCTTATTGTAGTGACCCTTTTTCTTATTCTTATAAGACTTTTTTGGCTTATCCCTATAAGGTTTATTGTGGAAAATTTTTCCTTTTTTTTTATTATCTGGATATTTTCCAAGATCAAAAGCAACTTGTTCTCAAAATTCACCAAGCTGGTGTTTCTCAGAAAGCTTTTGCTTTTTAAGTTGATTTCTAAGCTTTATGCCATTACATAAAGTTAATCCTTCATTAACACAAGTACTAATTATTTGACCATAAGTAAGGTCAGAATAATTTATATTTATTCCATCATTTTTTT